TATTATTATTATTATTATTATTATTATTATTTATGCCTATAGCACCTGGTCTTCCTAGGTGGTCTCCCATCCAAATACTAACCAGGTCTGACCCTGCTTAGCTTCCGAGATCAGACATCGGGCTTGTTTAAGGTGACATGGCTGTAGACTGTTCTTCAATTTCTATATTTTTCATCGTTCAGTTTCCATTTTGGATTTTCCTGAATAATATTTTTTTTCAATGAAATGAATAACTGTATATCAAATTTTAGCTAAGCACAAGGCCTTTAACTAATAGCATTATTCTAGGCAACACTTAAGGTCTCAGAGATGGCAACTGTTTAACAAAGGACAGTAAGGTTGCTAAAGTAGTCTCCATTTTATATTTAGACTTTATATTTAGAATTCAGATCTTCAGCTTCCTTATGTTTCTGGGCCTAAAGCATAGAGTCCAAAAAGTCCCTAAATAGTTAAATAGATTCTTTCTTAATGTATTTTGACAGACTTAGTGTTTATTTCTACATCTGTACTCACAATCTATATTTTTATAGAGACTGATATTACATTTCACCTCTTATGATTTCTGTTGTAACTTTATTTCTCAATTTTATTGACAGCCATGATAGAGAGACTGTAGAAAGGAATACTTCTTCCTATTTTCCTTAGAGATTCCTAGGATTCTACCCCTTTAATCTGGGTAGAATACTAGCCAGATAAAGAGATAAATGGGAAATGAAGGGAAAAAAGGAGCTTAAGTTGATTTAGGGGATTCAGAGGACAAGCAATTTTTAAATTCAGCAGAACCATCTTTGACAACTTCCCCTTTCTCTCCTCCCCCATTCCTTTCACCAACAGAATTCTACTGTCCCCTTACCTGGATGGTGTGGATTCACCCGTAAGGGATGGATTACTTTAGAAGTATGTGAAACTGGGACAAATCACAGGAGTCATGTCTTAGAGGAGCAAATTGAAGCAATATTTGGACCACAAACGAGGCCTGAGTGGGGTGGTGAATGGTAAATTAAAAACAAACAAACAAACAAACAAACAAACAAACAAGAATGTCATAGCATAGCAGAGTGAGACAATAGATATCATCCTGGCTCAATTCTGTAGATGAAGCGTGGATGCTTCTTGGTGTGTTTACGCACCTCCAGTATACTCTGAGGGCTTTTTAAATGCAGTGAGAATAAGAGGACACTCCCTCTCCTTGACCCTCATCATCCTCTGAGTTCAGGACCTTATTATCTCTCAGCTAAATTTTTAAAAATCGTAACTAACCTTTAAATATTAACAATAATTTCTTAATATCATCCAATACCCAATCAATATTCAAATTTCTGCAATTGCCTCATAAATGTCTCACCAAATTTTTCCTCTTGCTTCCTTTTTGGTCTCTGAATCCAGTCATATTCCTCTTTAAATTTATCCTTCATTGAGGAACTAGTTAAATCACACAGAAATATCTCTTCCCATGTCACTCCCCTCCTCCAAACAATTATATTTTATCACCTAGCCTTTCCTTGAACTCTACCTTTCCTCATATTCCAAGTATGCAAAAATAAAGGGTAGTGTATTTTGTGTAAGAGATACATTCCTAGACATTTCTCATAAATCAAAACTTCTATAACTCAAATATAATCCTGATAGAGAATGGAGCCTTGTTTACTGGCTAAAGTAACACCAGCATCTCCAAGGCCATCTTCAAGGTCCAGAGTGTTACTTGACAATGTAATACATAGTTCATAATACCCTTGATCTAAGAATTCATGGAATTCTTAGAGAGTTTCTAATTAGATTGAGGTTATATGTTATTTTATATATTACCTGTGAAGTTTTCATTTAATTCATATTTCTTTTAATTTAAAAGTTGCACAGTTCAATTTTGCGTGTAATGCAACTGAGTGTACTGCATCATTATCTCCTAACATATTGTCTGTGTTATGTCTCTGTAGACAGGACTATCTTTCTTACCCCTTCTCTGCCTATACAACTGCTATTAATTCTCTAGTACCTTCTAAAATTCAGTTCCTCTTTGAAGCTTTCTCTGATCCTGTCTAGACAGAATAAATCATCTCATTTTTTTTTCTAAAACACCTCTCTCATATGTCTGCTGCATCACTTATGATATGACATATAAGCTACTCACACCGTTTCTATCGTTTTAGTTAGTATTTTAGTATGCACTTTGTGGCTATACCTTATTCATGTGTGCCCTCACTGGGCTTAGCACTTATAATGGATACATAGAAAGTGCTGACTTTAATTAATCTTGCAGAATTATTGTAAAGATTAAATAAAACAATTTGTATCAATTGACTGATACAGTGCCTAATACTGGTGCTCAGTAAATTTTTCCTTCTTTTATCATCCTTAGTGTACTCCTGCTTCATTTCTTTCAACTCTTTATATATTTTGTCCATGAGAAGAGATTGGAGATTTCTTCCTTTTATTGCTCACATGTCTCTTCTTCAGCACACGAATACTGACCATTTTGCATCTTTTTTTTTTTTTTTTTTTTTTTAGGTCACTATCCCTGTTCAAATCAGAGATCCGCCAAAGACAGCAGACAAAGGTAATATGACATCTCCACCACTCCTTGATGCCAACCCCATGGAGAACCCATCACTGTTTAATGACATCAAGATTGAGCCACCAGAAGAACTGCTGGCTAATGACTTCAATCTGCCCCAGGTGGAACCAGTTGACCTCTCCTTTCACAAGCCCAAGGCTCCTCTCCAGCCTGCCAGCATGCTTCAAGCTCCAATACGTCCTCCCAAGCCACAGCCCACTCCCCAGACTCCTATAGTGTCCATGTCAACATCTGATGCAGGCACTTTAGCAAACATCCCTACCGTTCTGACTCCAGGCTCTATCCTGGCCTCCTCTCAGGGCACTGGTGGCCAACAGATCTTACATTTGATTCACACTATCCCCTCAGTCAGCCTGCCAAATAAGATGGGTGGCCTGAAGACCATCCCTGTAGTGGTACAGTCATTGCCCATGGTGTATACCACTTTGCCTGCAGATGGGAACCCTGCAGCTATTACAGTCCCACTCATTGGAGGAGATGGCAAAAATGCTGGATCAGGTGAGCATCAATGTACTCCTTTCCTGGGCCTTACCTTCATTATATGTTCTCTTTTCGAGTTGTCCTATATCCTATCTCTTCACTGCCTCCAATTATCCTTGCACACAACTTCAAGAGTAATCTTTTCATGAACACTTTTTTTATCATGTTTCTTAAATACTTAATAACATACGGTAATACAATATTTGTGTTGTACACCTCAAACTAATATAATATTGTGTGTTAACTATAAAAAGAGCTTTACATTCTATAATAGAAAAAAAGAATGTACAATGGCTCTTTTGTTTAGCCCATGCTTCTGAAACTGGGGTATGCATATCCTTGAGTGAAATACAGTCTATCTTCCTGGAATCTATAGTAAATAATTTGATAGCAAATAATTTAAAATATTTTATATTTTAAAATGATTTTATTAAAGAGAAAAATGTAAAATTTGAATAACCTTTTAAGATAAAACACAAACTTCAAAACTAGTTTTAAGCTTACTAAGGCACCCACCTTAGGATTTTCCAGGAGAAATGTATTTATTATTCTGTGCCATTAGAAATCCTTTGGTAGACAAGTTGAGAATGTTTCTAGCCCTACATACTTAGCCAGCGTGTTCCAACATCATACCTTTTCTCTTCCTTGCAGGAAAAATGGTCTTCTTTGAAATATTGCCATCTTCTCTGTGTTCTTCCTCATTTAGCATCTATCACCCTCCATTTTACTTTTTACTTACCTATATTGCAGGAATTCTTCCCAACTGAATTGTAAATTCTTCAAGGACAAAACTGTATCTTATTTCTCATTGTGCATCTCCAGAGAACCTAACACAGTGGTAGATAGTAGTTGTCTTACAACAAATAATTTGAACAAACTTGAAAATTTGTCCAGGAGAGAGTTCATTTGCTATAATCTTTCCTTTTGTTTTATTTTAAAAATAAGTCCAGAATTCAGAAAAGTATAAATTAAGTCTCCCTTCCACCATGATCCTCCACCACTAAGTTTCTTTCCTGGAAGTATATCGACTTTAGTTTGTAATTGGGAATGATCAAAAAAATTATATGGCTTCTTGAAGTGGCTCAAGATATTTTGCTTCACCATACCTGTAAAATCCTAGTTAATTTTGAATGTTGTACCTTAGGAAGGATATTGGGAAATTGGAGTATAATTAGAGAAGAGAGATTAGGATGATGAGAGGATTCAAATTCATGAAATGAGGAGCTGATAGATATTTAGAATGAATTAAAAAGACCACAGGGGAGATATGTGGGCGGAAATGACTAGGAATCAGATTTCAGATATATAAACTTTTCTACCTTTGAAATCCAATACATTGTGATCATTCCATCACTAAATGTAAGAGACTGAAAAACAATACACTAAGCATCAAATTGCTAAGACTTTTCAGTATCTTTTTGAATAAAATGCCATCATTGAATAGTGGATAATTTTGGTGATGATAAGTGTTCATAACAATCTTGTTTTTGAGATACCTTAAGGAAGTTAATTAAAATATGGTTATCCATTCTCAAATAAGGAGAGGCAAACAAAAAAGAAAATGAGAAAATAAAATTCCCTGTGTGAGAGGTTGCTGATATCAAGATAGTAGTGGCACCAAGGAATGGTTTGACGGGGCTTTGAATCCTCCTGGAATATCCATCAGTCCTCCAGAGCCACTCTAAATAAACAGAATACATTTTAACAGTGTTTAATGTAGTTTTAAGCTAAGCTAAAACCATTATCCCAGTGGTATCCAAAATGGTATGCTTATACCTTGTTGTGGGGAGGTGCACAAAACAATTGGATCACAAGTATCAAAATTTATATATGCATTTTCTCACCCCTTACATGTTTTATTTTTGTTCATTTTTGAAAATATGTACAACAATTTAATATACTAATGCATTTATATCACTACACATGGATACACACACATACTGAGATGCATGCTTAAAACTTTTTAGTGAATGATCCACAATCAATGTATTGAAGGCACTAGCCAAGTTCTCCTTCATTCAACCTTATTGCCACCCTTAAGTTTCTTCTATATAGAAGTTTTGAATCTTTCATTAGATCTAGGAGAGTATTGACCACTTGGTTGAGCTTTTAGGCATTGGAAACATCAGTAATTAATAATAAATATTTGAGAGCTTCTCCCAACATAAGTGGAAGAGAAAGATGTAACATATATGAAGCACCTACTAGGTAGTAGATATGTGTTTCAGCTCATTGACTTGTTTCCTTTTAGGAGCACAAAAGCCAAAGGATGTGTTCTTACTTCTGAGTTGAGCCTAGGCATTGATATTAGGTTAGCCAGAGAACTATTCAGAGAGTTCGATTCAACAAACAGACATTGAACCTGACTTTTCAGCAAACCCTGTCCTGGGAGCTAGAGATAAAGAATTGACTCATAACCAGACTCTATCCTAGAGAAAGCTATCCTATCTCACTCACTATTCTAAAGAAGTTTATTCTAGTAGTATCAGAACGCTCCTCAGTATTCTCTCAAGGAATTTCTGTTCCCCACTATGCTAAAAATTTTAAATGTTCTTCTCTTGCTTATATACAAATACACTTCTTCCATATTTGATTTTTTCTTTATTTCCCTATCTTGCTCCTACTTCCTATTTTGGCCCAAACTGGGAATCTTGAAAATGATGACAGAGGCACATATATTTATAGCCCACACTGCTCCTTTTCTTTGCTTTTAGTGAAAGTTGACCCCACCTCCATGTCTCCACTGGAAATCCCAAGTGACAGTGAGGAGAGCGCAAATGAGAGTAGATCCTTGGCCTTACAGGGTATTCAGGGACTACAGCAAGAGTGAGTACTTTTGTCTTTACTTCATGTCTGTCTCTGTGTCTATATGTGTGTGTCTTTGATAGAAGTGGAACATATTCTCAGACACAATAGTAAGATTTGAGGACAACAAAATATAGGACAATTGCCTTCTCAGCGAAGGCATGAATTTGTGTGCATACATGTGTATAGGCATGCATGTTACCACGGAGTTATGTTCTAATTGCAGATCATCCATTTTACCTTTAAAAAATCAGCAAATTTCCTATAAAGTACAGTTGCATACTGTTTCTCTAAATTTAAAACAGTCTTGTCTCTCAGTGTTGGAACTAATGAAGTAAGTTAGCTTGCGTTTTAGAAACCGTTTTATATGGAAAATACATTTCTTTAAACACAAAAATGAGACTTATTAGAGTGAAAAATGCTCACACTCTGTGGGAACAGAAACCACCCAAGGAAACATTGCTACTTCCTGGAAACTGCACTTGCTGAACATAATGGCCTAGTTGAGAGAATTGCTGGGATTATTTCAATTGTTTATTCTTTGGGGAACCTAGTGTTAAATTTGCATAAATTAAATACACATATGAGGTGGTCCCACTGTATGTAAGTCGATTTATTTAGCCCCCACTTTAAAATCATTCTTTGGCCCTATTTCTCTCTCTCTCTCTCTCTCTCTCTCTTTTTTCTTCCCCTCTCTCTCTCTCTTTTTTTTTTTTTTTTTTTTTTTTTCGCTCAGACCAGCAGTAATGACCCAAATGCAGGGAGAAGAGTCCCTTGACTTGAAGAGAAGACGGATTCACCAATGTGATTTTGCAGGATGCAGCAAAGTATACACCAAAAGCTCTCACCTGAAAGCCCACC